GACAAAAATTAGCAAGAGTGCAGGTTGGTCGATGAGTGGCTTATATCATAGGAAGATATACTGGTGACAGGTGGGGGGGGGGGGGGGAGGGGGGCTTATCCTACCATACCTCCAGCACACAAAAAAATTGGGGGGAGACAAAAATTAACGATTCTATTGCATAATTGTAATTTGATACATTTTATATATTATGCTATCAAAATATCTGTGCTTCCATGTGGTGTAAAAAAAAATTATTAGGAACAGAATTGACCAAAACAGAAGGGTACAAAATAAATCAGAATAGAACGGAATAAAACACAACAGAAAAGAACACAACAGAATAGAACACAACAGAATAGAAAAGAATAGATCAGAACATAATATAACAGAATAGAATAACCTCTGTCTATAGAAGAGCCCACGATAATACTGTGCTATGGTGCTAATATACAAATAAAACTTAAGAAAGTTTGTTTTATTTTTTAAATATGACTTTTCTTAGTTATTATTGTTGTTTCTTTTGTAACTGATAAAATTAGTGGATAGAAAATTTGAATGAAATAGTATTTTAGCGAAAGCTATACGTCGCTTTCAAATTATTTTTTTAAAGTAAAACACTCCCGACTATTTACAATGTTTTGTAATTGTATATTAACAAATATATAAAACATTAAAAACTGTACTTTTTTATTTAAATTTTAATTGAAACAAGACAGTAGCGATGGTTGGGATATTTTTAGGTGAGCACGTCACTTCCAGGGAACGGCGTGGTCGGGTGGTAGAGCTGATGATTACTATCTCCAAGAGTTCCATCTCCAGACAGATGCGACTCGATAGCTGGGGACAGCCATCCAGCTAGGAGAGACAACTCGTTGGCTGGTGACAGCCATCCAGCTAGGAGAGACAACTCGTTGGCTGGTGACAGCCATCCAGCTAGGAGAGACAACTCGTTAGCTGGGGACAGCCATCCAGCTAGGAGAGACAACTCGATAGCTGGGGACAGCCATCCAGCTAGGAGAGACAACTCGATAGCTGGGGACAGCCATCCAGCTAGGAGAGACAACTCGTTAGCTGGGGACAGCCACCCAGCTAGGAGAGACAACTCGTTAGCTGGGGACACCAACTCTTCTAGGAGAGACAACTCGTTAGCTGGGGACAGCCATCCAGCTAGGAGAGACAACTCGTTAGCTGGGGACAGCCACTCTTCTAGGAGAGACAACTCGTTGGCTGGGGACAGCCATCCAGCTAGGAGAGACAACTCGTTGGCTGGTGACAGCAGTGGCGTCGCAAGGTCGGGTGTCACCCGGTGTGGCATCACCTGGTGTCACCCCCACAAAGGAAAAATGGTGTAGGATATATATAGTAAAGTTCCCTTTTCAAACCTGACGCTCTATGGGTGCAAGTGAAGTAGAGTTCACTTGTTTCTGTGACCTCAGCATATGAAGAGATAGTGTGATCAGCACTATGCCCAGCCGCCTTTACTTTCCCTAACGTGAGTTAGGTACCCATCAGAGTTGGGTTGACTCAGGGACGTTCTACGGACTTGAACCCGGATTCGAAATCGAGACTTACGGGGGTTAGCAGTCCAGCTCTCTACCTCTAGACCACTCCGTAGGATATATATATATATATATATATATATATATATATATATATATATATATATATATATATATATATATATATATATATATATATATATATATACAGTTTGGGACTTTACTTTCCCTAACGTGAGTTAGGTACCCATCAGAGTTGGGTTGACTCAGGGACGTTCTACGGACTTGAACCCGGATTCGAAATCGAGACTTACGGGGGTTAGCAGTCCAGCTCTCTACCTCTAGACCACTCCGTAGGATATATATATATATATATATATATATATATATATATATATATATATATATATATATATATATATATATATATATATATATATATATATATATATATATATATATATATATATATATATATATATATATATATATATATATATATATATATATATATATATATATATACAGTTTGTAATTAGTGTCACCCCCCCTCCCAGTTTGCACACACATTATTTTTATCGACCTATTAATTCAAGTGGAAAAAATCATCCTTTACGTTGTAAATTATTATATATAGTGTCCACCAACAGCGGTCATTGATTGAAAACACTCTAATTAATAATTCATTAAACTGACAAAAAGCACATTTCTTCTATATATTTTGCAATTTTTTTGGTCTTGGTGTCACCCCCCCCTAAATGGTGTCACATGGTGCGATCCGCACCCCCCGCCTCGCGACGCCTCTGGGGACATCCACCCAGTTAGGAGAGAAAACTCCAAAATCAAACAACTGTCTCGAGTGGACAATGGCTATGTAAGCAATCCAGTAAGAAAAGAAGGCTGAAGTAGGAGTCTACAGGGCGACTAAACATGGACATGTAACACTTATGTTAAAGGATATCCCCTCCAATTTTATCAGAGGCGTAGAATGGCGGGTACATATGTTCCCGGGCGCCGACCCTAGGGGGCGCCAAAAAGGGTTGGAAAAAAAATTAAAAGCTCATTTTAGATGTAGTTTTGCATTATAAATATAAAAAATGTATGGGGGGGAGGGCAAATTGAAAGTTTGTCCCCGGGTGCTACGCCTCTGAATTGTATACATTTAAGAACGAAGTAGATGAGGAAGACCTCCAATGAAATGCTGGAATGAACCAAAACAGACGAGGCTGACCAACAGGCTAAGACCTTTTTGAGAGAAGGGTAGAAGGTCCCAGAGGCGTAGCGAGGGGGGGGGGCGGGGTGCGGACCGCACCGGGTGACACCATTTAGGGGGGTGACACCAAGGCAAAAAATAGCAAAATATATAGAGAAAAATTTGAGGGGGGGTGTGCAAATCGAAAGTGTGAGGGGGGGGGTGCAAATCGAAAGTTGGGGGGGGGGGGCTGTAAATCGAAAATTGAAAGTTTGTCCCCGGGAATGGTCGCTACGCCTCTGGGGGTGACACCATTAAGTGCCGCACCGGGTGACACCCGAACTCGCTACGCCACTGGAAGGTCCACAGCATATTTGGTGTTTTAGGTGTTTGTTGATTTTGTTCTCTGATTGTTGTATTTTTTGTTTTTGCCTTTTGAAACTTTGAATAAAAGTAATAGATCTAGTTTATATTACTTGGGTCGAAAAAACAAAAGTCACATTGGTTGTTAGAGTGGCACTCGTCACATTTTATTTTTATAGTCACCACATTTTCTGTTTATGACTCCATGGAACACTTCAGCTGTATCATCACGAATCAACCGGAGACCTCTGTCCCCACGACCACCACTACCGCCCCCCCCCCTCCTCACACTCAGACATGAGCTCAGTGATGAAAACAGTGGCTAAGTGTTGACAGATAAACTGGAGAGGTTTTTTTACATATATATATATATATATATATATATATATATATATATATATATATATATATATATATATATATATATATATATTATTTATTTATTTATATATACACACACATATATATTTATATATATATATATATATATATATATATATATATATATATATATATATATATATATATATATATATATATATTCGTGCGTGTGTGTGCCTGCGTGTCTGTGTGTCTGTGTGTGTGTGTGTGTGTGTGTGTGTGTGTGTGTGTGTGTGTGTGTGTGTGTGTGTGTGTGTGTGTGTGTGTGTGTGTGTGTGTGTGTTTGTGCGTGTGTGTGTGTGTTTATATTTATATATGTGAATGGTGTTTAAGCAAATGTTAAGTTAAACTCAGCCGTTTCCACGTCAAGTATTTATTTCACCCCAATATTTAAAACTGCCAACTGATTTGTTATTTGCTGTTGTTTCTCAGATTAATCAGTATCTAATCATTAACTGCCACCGGTCCTTGCAAATTACTTCAGCGCTTATTAAGTTTTTACCAGTTTGTTTTGTTAATTTTTTAGATGGTTAGCAAATAGATGGAAATGTCAAAAGATGGTTGGGGTGAAATGATGGTTGGAAACATGATGATGGGGAAAGATGGTAGGCTTCTCGATGATGAAAGATGGCCGTCGACATGACGATGGGGAAAGATGGTTGATTGTGTGACGATTGGGAAAGATGGTTGTTGCTGTGATGATGTGGAAAGCTGGTTGACAACATGATGATGGTAAAAGATGGTTGTCAATATTATGGTGGGGAAAGATGGTTGTTGGTGTGATGGTGGGGAAAGATGGTTGTCAGTATGATGATGGGGAAAGATGGTTGTTTATGTGATGGTGGGGAAAGATGGTTGTCAACATGACGAGGAAAGATTGTTGTCGGCGTGATGGTCTCGAAAAATCGTTGTCAATATGATGATGATGTGGAAATATGGTAGTTGGTGTGATAATGGGGAAAGATGGTTGTTGATGTGATGGTGGAGAAAGGTTGTTGTTGGTGTGATGGTGTGATGGTGGAGAAAGATTGTTGTCTATATGATGATGGGGAAAGATGGTAGTTGATGTGATGGTGGGAAAAGATGGTTGTTGATGTGATGACGGGTAAAGATGGTTGTCAATATGTTGATGGGGAAAGATGGTAGTTGATGTGATGATGGGGAAAGATGGTAGATGATGTGATGACGGGTAAAGATTGTTGATGTGATGGTGTGATGGTGAGGAAACATGGTTGTTGGTGTGATGGTGTGGTGGTGGTGGGGTGAGTGCTGTTGTACTAACTAGACGAGATGTTCCCCACGACACGCTGACGGTTCTAACGACAGATGACGGGGAGGGACGGGCTCGGCCACTCGCCTTAACCCCTCCCACTCGGGATCAATGGACAAACGAGGAGCCCGGGGAGACGGTGCGACAAGCGACCGTAGGGCGGGCGACAGGGAGCGGGCGGGACCAGGCGGGGAGTCGCCCGTCGCCCGGCTCAGCCGGCAGACGATTGGCAGGACAATGCGACACAATGGCAGAAGCCGGTAATCTGTTAGTTGATTAGCCCGGCAGTACCAGAGAGAGAGACGTTAGTGCGAGCATAGTCTCTAAACGTGGAGGTTCTTCGCAAATTTACGTCGCGACGCGCGTTTTTTTAAGTTTCATTTTGAACACCGAACACATCGAATCAGTTTTATAACTTTTTATTCACACGTTCGATCTATTTTAACTCAGGTGTTCATTTTGTTATATTTTCATATTTACTTATTAATTTGAACTTTATATACACTGTGAATTATTGAAAAAGACTTTATGTTTTGAAAAACCGCATTACAAAAATGGAGGAGCGATTCAAAGAAGAATTCACCAACCTCACCGCCCGTGTCTAACATTGTGAAAGACGTCTGTGAATTCGTACGTACCTAGGGTTAAAGGTACGGTGTTTCGACCGTCGGTCTTCGTCAGCGGATATTCTAGTGGTCAGCGCCTAAAGTTGTGTGAGTTGATTAGAGAATTGGTTCGACTAAACGCCGAAATCGTTCAGAGAACTTCATGTGTTGGTGAAAACTTTGGTGAAAACTTCGGTCATGTAAGTTTTAGTTTTATTTCTCCTTTGGTTGTTGCTGTTGTTCTGGTTGTTGATGGTGTTGTGGTTGATGATGTTTAAGTTGTGGTAAATGTTTTATTGCCTCTGTTTGTTGTTGCTGTTGTTGTTGCTGTTGGTGCATGTTATGTCTAATTCGCGCCGTGTTTTGATCATAGTATTGAACTTCCTAGTTACTCTGAGCCTAACCAGCCTTAATGGGTACTCAGCATTAATTTAAAGGGATGTGCACTGTTCCTGGCCTCACATACAGATTTGTTGGCCAGGACTATGATGGCCATGAAACAAACCTGAATCTGTGGCTACAAAAGTCATGCCAGCTGTTGTACTTGAACAGCCCTGTTCCTTCTTAATGCTGTCAAGTTTGTATTTAACAGCCATGCTGTATTACAACAGCCGTGTTATATATTAACAACCATGCTTTACTTGAACTGCCCTGTTCCTTCTGAATACCGTCAAGTGGTACAAAAAAAATCGGCTACTTCACGGCAGTCAATGATCAGCGTCGTTCATTCACTTTTGTATGTACTAGTTGCTATCTTACATCCCCCCCTCACCCCAACCCCCACCTAACCCTCCCACCCACGGGGATCAAACTACACTGTTTACATGGCTATATATTTGTTAAGATCTCCTGTGACTGGCGTCATATTCAAATTCTCGCCCTACAACCCCGCTAACCCCCCCCCCCCGACCTCCCCACGTCAAGTTTGGTCGGTGATATAATTGTGTGCGAAAATATCGTTCTTCGGCCTTGTGATTACAATCCATTCACATGTCTGCTTTTAAAAGTGTGTGTGGCTTATTTTTACGCAAGATGCAAGTCTCCAGAATACCGCAAATTGTTTTTTTTTCTCATGTAAATAATTTTCAATTATATTTTGATTTATGCCCCCCCCCCCCCCCCCCACCCCACATCCAATACTACGGTGACTCCTGAAGAAATTGCATTTCATAGTCATTGTAAATCATCACCCTGAATCTACTTCACCTGCCTGTTTAAAACTAATCTGATCTAAAGCTTGTATTTAATGGTTGGGCGTTAATCCCACTGTGAACACAGCGAGTATGATAGAAGACCGATCGTTACGCTGTTTGTGGTAGACCCCCCCCCTCTCCCCCCTCTTCTCCCCCCACCCCCACGGGGTCTTTTCTTCATGTTGGGATAGTTGTAAGACAACATGAAATAAGTTACCCTTTTGGATGTGACGGTCCGCGTGGCAGATGAAGTAGAGTTCATCTGTTTCAGTGATCTAAAAGGCTAGTATGGTCAGGTCTTTAACGGAACCGTCTTTACTTGCCCTAACATAAGACAAGAACCATCAGAGCTGGGCGGGTCTACAGACTCGTGTCCGGGATTCGAACTCGAGACTTTTGGGCTAGAAGTCGTGCTCTCTATCTCTCGACCATGTCGCCCCATAAGACGACATAAGGTTGGGGGGGGGGGGAGGGGAACGTTCAGGGCCCTGGATGCTGCCCGGTTGACCCTTTTAATCCGACGCTGACCATAACTACTTATACAAGAAAGTAGGCAATGAACTCTCAATATCTATAGAGATAAATATATAATGGAATATTAAACAAAATCAGTTCTTTTCATATTAACTTGAAAATGTTGAATATGTAACAACATACATAACCACATGTTTCTGTAAACAAATAAAAAATGGAAAAACCAGCAATACAAATAACGCCATAAGCAAACATACATGCAACATTTTATGTGCGCTTGTTTTTGCTGCCTAGATGGCAAACACATGGCTAGATGGCAAACACATGGCTAGATGGCAAACACATGGCTAGATGGCAAACACATGATGTTGTATATGTGTAACAGTATGTAACAGATGTTGTATAAACAAGCCCTTCCACATAATCAAACAGCTCGCAATGAGATTCAACAGTCACAATAATCCGTGTGATACCTTATTTTTAAGCACGCATTTCTTCTTTTTATAACACCTTTTAAGATTCTTGGAATAACATTTGTTTATATTTGAATACCAAGCATCAAACAAATTATTTCAATTTAAAATGTTAATTTTTAAACTCTTACTTAAATGTGATATAATAGTTTTCTAGGTATTTATATTAATTTATCAGACAACTTAGATTAGTGGGCTACGGACAATTTCAAAAACAAAATTAAAAAGATGAAGCCGGTCTTTGTTGCACAGATCAATTTAAACTATAATATCAGCTACATATTTTTGTAACTCATTAAGTAAAGAAGTTAACAAACTAATAAGAACATATTTGGATATAAGCACATACATTTGTTCGTGAACCTAAAAAAAAATTCGATGTGGCACTTTGCTTTTCATACTCATAAATGTTAACTTTATTTATACCTAACCCTCATCAAACTCTGTCTTAACTTTATTTATACCTAACCCTAATCAAACTCTTGGCTTAACTTTATTTATACCTAACCCTAATCAAACTCTTGTATTAACCTTATCCCTGGCTTAAGTCCTAACCATAACCTTTGTTTGAACCTACTAATAACTTTAAGTAATGGTTAGCATTTGTCAATTTTAGCTACACTTTAACTTTGAACCTTCAATGTACGAGACAACATCGCAACCATTTCTTAAATGTTTGATACAAAATCACAACCATTTCTTAAATGTACGGCACAACATCACAACCATTTCTTAAATGTACGGCACAACATCACAACCATTTATGGCATTAGGTTTCATAGTCTCCACACATCAGGGCGTAGGTTCAAAACACGTTGAGAAAGATAGACCAACTCGCTATAGAGATAGCTGCTTGAGTTGGGGCTGATTTATTTATACTCTGTGTGCCAGACTTAAGCGCTCCTTTACACGTTATATTTTAATTAATTACAAATTGTCAATATTATTTCAATTATATCCTGTCCCCTCCTCCTATATTTATAAAAAATGTCCCTCCCCCTATATTTATGTAAAATGCCCCCCCCCCCCTATATTTATGTAAAATGCCCCCCCCCTATATTTATGTAAAATGCCCCCCCCCTATATTTATGCAAAATGCCCCTCCCCCCATATATTTATGTAAAATGCCCCTACCTCTGTATTTATGTAAAATGCCCCTCCCCGTATATTTATGTAAATGCCCCCTCCCCCAATATTTATGCAAAATGCCCCCCCCCTATATTTATGTAAAATGTCCCCCCCCCCCCTATATTTATGTAAAATGCCCCCCCCCCTATATTTATGTAAAATGCCCACTCCCCCTATATTTATGTAAAATGTCCCTCCCCGTATATTTATGTAAATGCCCCCTCCCCGTATATTTATGTAAAGTAACCCTCCCCTATATTTATGTAAAATGCCCCCCCCCCCTTATATTTATTGCAAATAAAATTGACAAAATCGACACTCCGATGTTTGATTCACATTTGTTTAGTATTCTAATTCAGATTAGGATACCACGAATGAAAACAATTGTTTAGTATTCTAATTCAGATTAGGATACCACAAATGAAATAATTTCTTTAGTATCCTTATTTAGATTAGAATACCCCGAATGAAACAATTTGTTTAGTATCCTTATTTAGATTAGGATACCACGAATGAAACAATTTGTTTAGTATTCTAATTCAGATTAGGATACCACGAATGAAACCATTTGTTTAGTATTCTAATTCAGATTAGGATACCACAAATGAAACCATTTGTTTAGTATTCTAATTCAGATTAGGATACTACGAATGAAACAATTTGTTTAGTATTCTAATTCAGATTAGGATACCACAAATGAAAACAAAGCTTTTTATTTCTACAAATAAAAAATCAATACTTCGCTCTCAATGAAATGACTACAAAACAACACACAAAAAGGATCAATGATCGTGACTGATACGGCCAGAATAGATGTTACCCCTAAATTTGCATTGGTCTTTGTAGCGAAGTTGAATAGCTCGATTAGCCTCGGTTTGAATTTGAATGATTGGTTCAAGCTACTGTTGAAAATCTATTTAAAACAAGAGATATGTTTATTGCGCTAACGATCGGTTTTTTTTTGTCTTTAAACGGCTAATGTGGAAATAATAAGTGTGTGTCGGATACACCTGTGTCACGTGGTCCATTGTTTGTGATCACATGACCGGTCATGTGAGAAGTTGGAGCTGGGGCGTCCCGCATGGGACAGTATATATGTACATACCATTAGATGCCGCGGTCTGTTGTTTGTTGAAATAACGAGGGATGGGAGAAAACACAATGGATAGGGGATTGTTTAATAGAGGATTGTACACACATTCCCCACCTTTCATGTACACAAACCTCCATCCCACACACATGTAAATCCCTAAACCACATCAACTTTCCTCACAGAAACCCATCCCTACAAACGTATATATTCATTTCTTCTATACAAAATACTCAAATCACATAACACAATTACACATATCACCAATACAATATATATACATACTTTTCCATATATATATATATATATATATATAATATATATATATATATATATATATATATATATAAAACATTGATCGTGTTAGTTCTCGGGCTGCCGGTCTTCAGGGAAGATAAAGTATCTTTTCTTTTTACAACGGCAATGGAAAAGATGGCGTGGCCAACACAAAGACCCAAGCGTTTACTTCCCCTAACCCAGGTACCCTCTATGGCTGAGTTGGCTCAGTCAAATACTCCATGGTCGAGACGAAGATTAGCTTATGATATAGATTTGATTTTTTTTTTTACGGTTTTTATCTTACTCTGTGATACTTTATCACACCCTTAAGTAAAACAAATTAAAAGATTAAAATTTAATCTAAAGGCAATTTATTTACAACGTAGTATAGCCTACATATGCTTTTGAAATGTATGTAATGAGTCTAGCCCAAGTTTATTTAACTTAATTAGGGATGAATGAAAACATTTCTATATACAATGTAGGACCTCATTGAGTACGTCCAGCTCTTATGGGTACCTGACTTAAGTTGGGGAAAGTAAAGGTGGCTGGGCATAGTGCTGACCACACTATCCGTTTATATCCCTTCATATCCCTTTTTTAAAAAAAACATTAACTCTATTTCATCTGCCCAATGGATCGCTAGGTCTTAAGTGATACTTTACTTTTACAAAGACTACTACAATGACTATAATGATAACTACAATAACTACTACAATGACTATAATGGCAACTACAATAACTACTACAATGACTACCATGACTTCGAGTCTATGTTTGTGTTTAATGTAAATACATTCGCGGTTTCGTCAATGCAAATTAATGTAATTAGTTTTTAAGCGGGTAATTAGCCTAACCACGTATTTGATGAGGTAGATTAATTGTATACTAGCATTCAACCATCGATTGTAGCACATTTGGCGTTGTATCTAGTCGGTGCTGATTAGGGTATCTGTTGCTGTTGCTGTTTCATGTACATTTTACATTGCGGTAAGGGAAAAAACAGAGAAGGTGTGTAGGGTGCGAGTAGGATCCGAACCTGCCCCTTGTATTTTTTAAAACAAAAAAGATAAATACAGGAAAACGACTAAATAATATAAAGCAGTTCAGATAATAAAGTTTCAATCCTCGGTTTTCGTCAATGTAAAATAAAATAATAATTTTTTTTTATTGAATTGGGACGGCGTGGTTGAGTGATAGGGCTAATAACTACTGATCTAAAAGTTTCGAGTTCGGATTATCTATGTATTTCGAGTTAACACATTAATTCTACTTTATCTGCTGTATAGACCTTCAAGTCTACTTAATTAACTACTTCAAATTGTTACTTTTAAAAGAGTGGAAAAATGTAAATAGTTTTGGACCTGTCATAAAAAAAATTATACCTGCATTTTAACACGACATATGTAGCATATTGTAGCAAATAAGCCACAGTGTGATTTGAACGTATGAATTACAGTTCGACTTATATCCATTCTAATGTTGTAGGATTTATGTCACGTAACGAAGCTAAAATCGCCATCACACCTCATCTGTTAAACAAAAACTCTCAACAAAATACATCACAGTTGTAATGTACCAGTAAAAAAACAACCAACTGCAGAAGTAAAACCAGTGGGGGGGGGGTGCTAATTCCCCCAGCTCCGTTTACCACGGGGAAAAAAATACAATCCCCAATGTATGCTAACGTGCAACTGCGTTAAATGGCTGACACATCCGCCGGTGTAACCGTCGCGGAGACATCCGTTTTAATTTTCTCGTTTGGGTATCGGTGTCCTTCACTCCAACACCGGTGTCTGTTCAGTTGTGCGATACGGGGTTTTTACTAGTGTTGGGTGATACGTGGTTTTACCAGAGGAGCAACTTCATCGCCCTGGGCAGCGTTAATGGCCGTGTTTTACGGCACGGGGGGGTGGGGGTGTGGGGGACGGGGGTAGGGAGATAGAGGGATGACTTACTTGAAGGCAAACAGGTGCTGGTTTTATTGGGTTAATCTAATTGTTCTCAAGTTTCGTCAATTACCCGCGGGTGACGATACATTAGCTAGCCGACCATGTTGGGTGACGTTGTTTTAATAGCCCGGCCTGTGGTGAAAAGGACTGAGATATTTTCAAACAAGAAACGTAGCTGAGTGTTTTATAAAAACCCTTCTCTCCGTCATAGTTACCCACAAACCTTTAACAGTTAAAAATATTGAACTGATATGCTTTTGGTGTTGTGTGACTAAGTTTTCCTTCATAAAATGCACATAGGGCCTATAAATTAATAACAATAGAGAATATTGTTTAAAAATGTGCGTTCCATCTCAATTATATTGACATCACCTTGTCTATATTGTTTTACCTGTTGCCAAATAGTTGCCAAAATGCTGCTGTCGTTTTAATTACAATGTTGCTGATGCTGACGATAGTAAGAAACCTGAAAGTAATTAGTAATTCCTTTGTTGCATTTCACGTAATATGTAGTCCTACGTATATAGCCTCACCAATCTTGATTTTGTTTTCTATTCTCCAGCTTACATCTTAAGGACCAACTGTTACCGTTGATCTTTGAAAACCTACCAGACCCTTCCAGAATGTTCCCCAACATGCTGAACCACAGCACGCTGTACCAGACCATGATGAGGTCACCCCTGTCCCAGCACTCGCACGCCAGCTCCCTGGGGGGAGGCTCGGCCTCGTTCCTGATGGAGAATTTACTACGGGAGCGCGCGGCCGCCGCCATCATGCCCCGTCCCCAGCACCACCCCGCCCTCTCGCCCATCGGCCTTGGGATGAGCGTCTCCTCCCTGAGCCAAGGTCACATGTCCCCCAGCTCAGGCCACTCGTCCCCAGGGTCAGACCGCTCGCACGAGCCTTTAAAAACTCTTCTAATCCCCGTCTCCTCCCCCTTAACGTCACCCTCGTCCCCGCCCCTGCCGGCCGTGCAAGTCGTATCAGCTTCGGCAGCCGGGAGACCGAGCAGCGTGTCCACAGCTTCGGGCAATACAAACAGTGACACTTTGTCCTACAGCTCCCAGCAGGCCCCGTTCCTCAAGTTTGGCATGAGCGCCATCCTCGGCACCGACAACAATCGGAAATCCCCGCAGGGCGGGACGGGTAAGTTTGTTTACATGTGTGTTGTCTATTTACCGAAAAATTTAAAAGACACCGCAACGCAACTTGTCCACGACAGCAATGGTTGTTGACTCAATGTTTCAATTTGTTTCGCTTTTGTTAATTGGATGATTTGTAAAATTGTTTAACACGCGGGAGGTTTCATCGCGTTGCTAATAGGAAGGGTTTTAAAATTGTTTGATGGGCGGGAGTGTTCATTATATTTTTATATGAAATTATTAAAAAAGTGTTTAATGGGCGGGAGGGTTCATTGTATTTTTATATGAAATTATTTAAAAAGTGTTTAGTAGGCGGGAGTGTTCATTATATTTTTTTCCTAGTCAAGATATTATGTGGGGGTACAAGTTTTAATAAGACAAACATCGTTAGCAAACATCTCCGCGATTTGTCAACAAAGAAATTAATTAAAGCTAAACGGGTAAGATGGCTGTATAGGGTGTTAAATTAGCATAAGGTTAAGCACCTAAATGGCTGATATTGAAACATAATATCAAATCGCTGAAGTGGGTTGCAGCGGGGTTGATAGGGTAACTGGTAAGGATCTTAGTAGGTAAATCGGAAATGGTTAATTGGGTTGCAGGTAGGGTAGTTGCTCAGGTTGTTGATAGGATAGTTGGTAGAGCTGTTGATATGGTGGTTGGTAGAGCTGTTGATATGGTGGTTGGTAGAGCTGTTGATATGGTGGTTGGTAGAGCTGTTGATATGGTGGTTGGTAGAGCTGTTGATATGGTGGTTGGTAGAGCTGTTGATATGGTGGTTGGTAGAGCTGTTGATATGGTGGTTGGTAGAGCTGTTGATATGGTGGTTGGTAGAGCTGTTGATATGGTGGTTGGTAGAGCTGTTGATATGGTGGTTGGTAGAGCTGTTGATAGGATAGTTGGTAGAGCTGTTGATATGGTGGTTGGTAGAGCTGTTGATATGGTGGTTGGTAGAGCTGTTGATATGGTGGTTGGTAGAGCTGTTGATATGGTGGTTGGTAGAGCTGTTGATAGGATGGTTGGTAGAGCTGTTGATATGGTGGTTGGTAGAGCTGTTGATATGGTGGTTGGTAGAGCTGTTGATATGGTGGTTGGTAGAGCTGTTGATAGGATGGTTGGTAGAGCTGTTGATATGGTGGTTGGTAGAGCTGTTGATATGGTGGTTGGTAGAGCTGTTGATATGGTGGTTGGTAGAGCTGTTGATAGGGTGGTTGGTATAGCTGTTGATATGGTGGTTGGTAGAGCTGTTGATATGGTGGTTGGTAGAGCTGTTGATATGGTGGTTGGTAGAGCTGTTGATATGGTGGTTGGTAGAGCTGTTGATATGGTGGTTGGTAGAGCTGTTGATAGGGTGGTTGGTAGAGCTGTTGATATGGTGGTTGGTAGAGCTGTTGATATGGTGGTTGGTAGAGCTGTTTATATGGTGGTTGGTAGAGCTGTTGATATGCTGGTTGGTAGAGCTGTTGATATGGTGGTTGGTAGAGCTGTTGATATGGTGGTTGGTAGAGCTGTTGATAGGGTGGTTGGTAGAGCTGTTGATATGGTGGTTGGTAGAGCTGTTGATAGGGTGGTTGGTAGAGCTGTTGATAGGGTGGTTGGTAGAGCTGTTGATATGCTGGTTGAAATGACTGATAATAGGGTAACTAGGAGGTGGCTTACATGGTTGCTGACAGTGTTCTTTTTAGATTCTAGTTAGATGTTGAGTGGCTGTATAGCTTTTGCTCTTACCACTACAGACTATAGTATGATTTTAAAATTTCGTAGTTATGATTAGTTACCGAAAAGCGAGACAATCGCTGCCTTGTAGATTGTTGTTGGCTGGACAAAGGCTATGAAATCAAATCCAGAAAGAAAAGCAGGTTGTAATCTGAGTCAACGGGTCATCTTGTACAAAACATGTTGACACGTAATACTTAACTCGGTCTGGGTAAATCCCATCAATACTAGCATCAAGAACGAAGAAGTTACCCATTGAACTTGACACCCAAATTATTCCTTTCTTTCAGTGCCCAGAAACAAACCACCCCAAATAGGGAGCCACTCCGGGGCGTTCGTCAGCTTCTCACCGTCCCTGCCTCCCCTGGGTGCCGGATGTGGTAAAGGCGCCTGTCCCTTCCCCGCCCACGGTCTTTCCTGCTCCAGTTGCGGCCCCAGACATCCGGCCTTCTACGACAACCCGTACCAGGCCATGCTCCGGGCACCGTACTTTGGAGGTAAGGCTCAGTTCTCTTACACTTCCGGGTTTGATTTTTGCATGTAATATGGGCTTACCTTGAAGGTAAATCGAAGGTGTTTGTGGGACATATAAAGGTATTTCCAAGTTGTAATGTGGCATATTATGTAATAGGGGCTTACCTTAAAGGTAAATCGAAGGTGTTTGTGGGACATATAAAGGTATCTCCAAGTTGTAGTGTGTAATATTTTAAAGATATTTCAATGATGATACTAGTACATATTATGTACGTAGGTAGGTAACAAAGCGACAACAATCTTTAAAAAAAAACGGAAGAGTAGGTTAGCCTTTGTATACAAAACATTGAAAGTTTTGTTTTGTTTTTTTAAAAACAAGTTTTTTTTCTGTATTTTGAGAGGGGGGGGGGGAGGTTATAGGCTAAGGCGTGACTTCATTTTAGTGTAGGTGTGTGGGGGGTGACATTTTGTGACGATGTGTGACGGAGGGGAGGGGGGCAGGTAAAAATCGTCCCAAAAATGTCAATTATGGATGACCCCTTACACATGTAATAATAGGTTGCACAATGCGTTCATTAAACTTGCAATTTTCTTTTTACAAATGTATCCGAACTATTCCGAACCAGTAGGACTATTTCTGTCAAAGAACAAACTACGAAACCTCTCTCTCGCTCACAATGCGTGTTTGTTTACACTGCTAACTACCCGCGTATAAAGTTGAGTCCGGATCTATTTTTTCCCCCTTAATGTCCATTTATTTTTTTCCTCTGAAGGTTTTATTCGAGGTTTTTCCACTGTCGGGCCTAGGTTAAGTTACCCCGGGTCGCAGATTCTTAAAGTCGGTCTGTCCCATAAAGTGTGATCAGCTCCAGCCTGTTGCTTTCTTCCCCCGGCCTTCAAAGGCCCGGCTCTGCCCGCCTCTCCTAATCCTAACCTTAACAAATGAGAAATGCACACGGGTATAAAGTGGCAACGCGGGATAGGTTAGCCGGTGTTGAAAAGAAATCTAACTAAACACCTGTAGCAGTTAAAGGCCATTCAACTAAATTACTTCCAGCTTTAGTTTATGAGGCTCCGTAAGCTTCATTTTCTTCTTTAAAAAAAAAAAGCCAATCCCAGATTTTTTTTTTATTTCTCGGCCAAATTATTTATAAACGTGGATCAAACTTCTATTGTAGAAGAATATTTGAAATTGATTTACCCGGTAAGCTAAGATCGCTATTATAACCAACGTAGGGTTCTCGTATAGGTCGGAGGGTGTTAATCTCGTTCCGCTTGACTGGGTTTGGCACCTTTATGTCCAGGGTGTCGCGTTTCCTACTTTCGTTGTGTCCAGATTTAGCGGGTACGTTTCAACATTAAACCCTCATTAACTCAGATCAACTTTTAGCCGAGCCTGATTTAAGTGGTCATTTTTTTTTAAATACCTGTTTTTTCCTATGTCTAAATACTTCAAAAGTTTAGTCTGTACTTAATTTTTTTTTTTAACGGATGATGAATAACGTAATGTAAGTGTATGGGTTGCATTCTCCGCTTTGGATAATGTTCAGATATTCTCTCATTGTTGTTTTCCTCGTCCACCGATATAGATAATGTAAATATGAAAACATCGAATACAACAAATTCAAAGCAATAGTGTTTAATAAGTACGTTTATAATTTAAAAACTGTACATTCACTTTAAATGAAACCATCACAATAAATCTCAACCCAACGGAAAAAAAAAAAAGACAAAGTACTGTAAAAAGAACTTCATGATATTACTATAACAAATAACTTTATGTCTTCGTTAGCGGTTAACATTCTATAAAGTAAATAGAGCAGATCGTGAGTTTACAGGCAGCATTGTATAGTAGAAGTTACCAGACATAGACTTGTGTGGCAAAAAGTACACTTGTAAATATTGTATGTGTTGAATGTCTTCCTTAGCCACTCAATGTCTTCATCAACTCCTCGCGGTCTTTCCCAGGTTGTAAAAATTTGTCCCCGAACCTCTAAAGCTATGCGTCTGTTCCCAGCTCCTTAACCTAACCCATAACCTAACCCTAACTCAACTCCTAAATGTCTTTCCCCGCTACCAAACGGATTTCCCCAGATCCTTAACGTTTATCCAGCTCCTAAATGTCTGTTCCATCATATGAAAAGTCCTAAAAGTCTACTTCAGGTCCTAAAAGTGTACCGTAGCTCCTAACAATCTATCTCAGCTCCTAAAAGTCTACTTCAGGTCCTAAAAGTGTACCGTAGCTCCTAACAATCTATCTCAGCTCCTAAAAGTCTACTTCAGGTCCTAAAAGTGTACCGTAGCTCCTAACAATCTATCTCAGCTCCTAAAAGTCTACTTCAGGTCCTAAAAGTGTACCGTAGCTCCTAACAATCTATCTCAGCTCCTAAAAGTCTACTTCAGGTCCTAAAAGTGTACCGTAGCTCCTAACAATCTATCTCAGCTCCTAAAAGTCTACTTCAGGTCCTAAAAGTGTACCGTAGCTCCTAACAATCTATCTCAGCTCCTAAAAGTCTACTTCAGCTGCTAAAAGTCTACCGTAGCTGCTAAACATTTCAGCCAATCCAGTCGTCTTCCCCATCCCATGAGCAATCTTCACCCAACCCTAAACAAAAATGTCCTTACCTACCAAACGTTAACATCACAGTAGCCACCTACCCCTGACATACCAAATCTGCTCTTATGATTGCGTGCTTTGTGCCGGAAGATCACCGTGGATTAAGCATCTGTGCGGGACTTAGTAGGACCGGCACTGGGCTGGTGGTGGGCACCGGTTCAAAACACCTTGTGGGTGGGGATACGGTGTGCGGGCCTTCAAAGGGTGAATTGCCTGGGATTAGGGAAGAATGTGTTTCTAGAAAACTTACACCTGGAGTCTTGTTTCGTTACAAGAGTTTAGGTTTCTTCATGGTCACCTGGGTAAAACTCGTCACGATTGCTCCTCTATGTGCTGTGGATATATGTCCAAAGACACATACATAAACATATATATATATATATATATATATATATATATATATATATATATATATATATATATATATATATGTGTGTGTGTGTGTGTGTGTGTGTGTGTGTGTGTGTGTGTGTGTGTGTGTGTGTGTGTGTGTGTGTGTGTGTGTGTGTGTGTGTGTGTGTGTGTGTGTGTGTGTGGTGAATCTGTGCGTGTATGCGTGAATGTGTGTCTGTGTGTGTATATTATTTTCAATTTATTTATTTATATTACCGATGTATACAGATTCTCAATGAATGTTGCAGTACCATTCAACAAAGAATAGTTAATTATAGTGCCAAGAAAAGGTATTAAAAGACGATCTCATGCGGGCATGAGCAACCCTTTTGTCAACACCTCCCCCCTGCTTCACACCCGGCCAACAACGACATAACGACACTTACATTTTGTTTGTTGTCTATACGGGTTTAAGCCTCTACTTACCCAGTCTGACGATGTTGTTGTTTTTTTCCTCGATTGAATGTTTGCATATAGCAACCAATCAGAAGCGCGGAGAACACAATGGAAGCCATAGTATGGCAGGCACATAAAAATTTCGGATCGTAATTCTAGGGATAAGGGGGTTAATTCAATCAAATCCTGGCTGTACAAGGGGAGGGAGTCAAGAATGGCGAACCTTATTCGTTGAGCGAGATCGGCCCTCGTGGAAATAAATAAACATAACATTACGTTCAGCGTTGAGGCCGATTTATCTAAGGCGCAAACATATGCTTCGGCTTGACAACACCTTCACCAGATTTATTGTCTGGGCATAAAAGCGTCTGCCAAGTCTGGGGACTTCTATTGGTGTTATTATAATATAATCTCATCATTGTAAGGGAGAAAAAAACTTTAATCTTTAAAGATGATTTTCTTAAGTTCGTGTTTTGGTTCCTATTGTGTGCTTGCATATATATATATATATATATATATATATATATATATATATATATATATATATATATATATATATATATATATAACATATATATGCCCCTATATATACATATATATTAGCCCCTATTTATATATTTATTTATTTATGTGTGTATGCATGTATGTATAAAATATGTGTATATGTAATTTTACAATGTATATGTGTATGTGTCTATCGGACGTTTTGTGATCTTGTATGGATAGATGTATGTTTGTAGCCTTTTCGAATTGTGTTCCATTACAAATAAATACAGTGACCTTTGAACAATAAGGTTGGATATAATCTCCATACTTGCTTAAAACATGAAATCGATCTTGAAATGAGTCGTGATTTACACAAAATGGCAGCAATAACTAATACAATTTTCCCTTTACTTTTGTAATATGTGCATTACTGTTGGAGGATATTAATCTTTCCCATAACAATACACAATAAATCTTATATTCTTTTTTTTTCTTTCTTTTTAACGGGTTATTGTAATTACAATAAATGTGTTTCGCATTATAATTTTTTTAATCATTTTAAAACCCTGCATGGGGGGGGGGGGGTGGGGTGGGGGTGGGGGTGAGTTTCACACAGACACACAAACATTGACACACACGCACACACACATGCACACACACAGACAACCCATCCCATTAGCTAACACTAATATATTTAACATCCCTTGTTAACAATGCATATGAAAATACAAATTAAACCCATTACTCCAGTGAAATAATGCCCAACTACACGTCTACTTAAATCTATGACGATAATTAAAACCCAGAGATAAAACAGCTGTACAGGTCCTGTAGACATGTCTATTTCATGCGCGACAGATGTCCAATCTAATCGCTATATACCAGATCATGTTTAATAGGTAAATTAGGTCTATCAATTCTTTTATTTTAGTTTGTGCACAGATGAGAATTAGCCGTATAATATCCGCGTATGTTTCCCATGCAAATAAATCATATCAGAATTTTAAATGTCATTCTGTGTACATAGGCCTATGTATATTATATGGTTTTATTGATCTCTGTATGCAATCATGTATATACTAAAGTCTATAAATATATATATATATATATATATATATATATATATATATATATATATATATATATATATGTGTGTGTGTGTGCGTGTGTGTGTGTGTGTGTGTGTGTGTGTGTGTGTCTATGTATATATATAAGCTATATCTGACCATCTTAAACTACGTTACTCAACAAATCAAGTCCTTGTATAGAGAAATCTTCAACAGCTGTCGGCCCATAAATCCCCCAGTCATGGTCCCTGTTAGGTCTTTATTACCCAGCCACTGAGCGTATCATTTGCGCGTGCATTCGCCGGATGACCCACTCAACCCAATCGTGGGATACACCAATGCCTCGCGTGTGTCTGGCACTAGACTGCTAGGGCGTCTGACGAGAACCGCCACAGCTAGAGATTTGGGCCTGAGTTGAGCTCCAGTGAGATTTAGCTCAGAATCAAAGCTCAAAACGATATTTTATCATTCATTTTTATGCTGTAGTCCATCCCATTATTAATTTAAAACAACAGTATCATCGCAAAGACACAAACACCTGTTTTATAATAGTTTTATCCATTTTATCTTGTAAATCCGCAAACCGCAAGTATATATATATATATATATATATATATATATATATATATATATATATATATATATATATATATATATATATATATATATATATATATTCCTTGTGTGCCCCATGAAATACTTTGCCTTGAAATCAATACGACGATCACAAAAAGTGTACGCTCTAAAAACGTCTAATCTTTGTTTGAAAGCTGTTCAATACAAAGCATACAGAAAAGTCTCGCTATAACATCTATCGGGAATCGATTACTAGCGAGCCACAACTATATTACCTCTTATCAACCAAGTAATTAGAAAACGTTTCTTTCCAAAATCGTTGCCGCGTTTATTTTTATAGATAACGTTATGAAAATAGAATAAAAATCGACATGAATTACAGATAACATTTTTTTTTTTAAATAAATCGACTTATCCCTCGTTTATTGCCCTTTCCTATAATGCTCGTATTTTAATCATCGCAAAGCTTAAGCTGGTAATACGAATCTCGCGAATATCTCGATGTTTACATTAGAATATGACCGTAAGTAGGCGAGTCTTTGCCGTGTCACGAGCAGGGGGTAAGGATATTGATAAGGATCGAGTTTATGGTCTACACACAGTATTGTAATATTATTTAGAGGCGTTTTAAAGAAAGAAACGTTCTACTTGCCCTTTTTTAAAAGCATATCATAGGATGTGTCAATTTAACTGTATTGTTTTAATTGGATAATGCGGGTTGTTGTTTTCATTCCTGCTATTTCTTTCTGTGAATCGCCATTTTGTCATAGTGTGAACATAGTTCTACCTCGATGAAGATTTTTAAATAGTCATTTAATTGTGGCAATGTTCCCTCTAAGCTGCGCAGTTGCGTGGCCGCGCAATAGTTTTGAGCTGCCGCGCAGTGATTTTGTGAAATAAAAATATCCTTGTATAAGACTTTTAGAACAGCGCGCAGAAAATACATTTTGCACATTAGCTTTTCCCCCTGTTGTGTTATGTTGAACACTGCATTGAACCAAATAAGTTGGGTATTTACTAAGTTAAACGTACACTTTATCAGTGCTTCTATTCACATATCAATTTTTTTTTACTCGACTGTTTTGAAAAAGCTATTTCAAAACTTTAACGATTTTACTTTCAATTTTAATGGAGCTTTTACATTTTAAAAAAAAACGCCTAAATTTGAAATCAATAATAGTTATAATTTTTCAATAAAATATGTTTCATTCTTTTTTCATTCTATTGTATGTATTTCCGCAGTTAAGCTTTCGGCAGTTTATATTACAGTTACAATTGGGCTTAGGATTACCTCGGTAAATTGCTCAGCGTGTGTTCTTGCGTTGATTTTAGTACGTACACATTTTATCCCGGCTGAGAAAGGTTGAACGAGTATATCGATTTCTTTTAAAGAAATGTTATTAACCAAAAGTTGCGGAACAAAAAAAAAAATTTAAATTCTTTTTAAAAAATTAAAAAATAAGCGAACAGTAAATTAAGTATTGATCGAATAAGTAAGTTATGGTCTAGCGGTAAAGGGTCTTTAATAAAGAGCGCATTAAATGGATTTTCGATCTAATTCATGTCAAATAGACCAACACAAGCCAGCCTGAACACAGATGTTCTATGTTCTAAGTTTATAGATACGATAACAGTCTCCCTGGCCCAACATTTGCCTGAGTATTGGACCAGATAAGGGGGAATAATCTTTTAATAATAGATACTCTACAAGCTGGGCAAATTTGGGGATTAGGCATAATTTATACATGGCTATTGACCGATGCAGAGGGGATAATAACTTGAGAGGATGGTAAGGGGAGAGAAGTGTGTAGCACAACTGCTAAGAGTTTGGTGAAGAGTTAAGTGAACTGTGGTGACGTAACGGTGGTGTTTGCTGTCGGTGATGACAGCTGGTTAACAAGGGCGGAGTCTGGTGGGGGGGGGGGGGGGGGGGGGTAGGCGCCCAGGCACAGAATAAGAGAGAACCCCTAGGTTTAGGAGTGATGTAGATGTAGTATTAGATACTAGCTCGTTCAACCCACATAAGCAAGCGTCTGTTTTCTGTTGCCGGAAAGGGAGAAAATAAACAATAAACATAGTTGTTTCATTTAGTGAGACGCTTCAACGCCCCTTCAATAAATAAACTATGGATTTTTTTTTCATTATAATTCTGCGTGGTCGAATGGTAGAGCTTACGACTGCTAGCCCCAAGTCTCGAGTTCGCATCCCAGGCTCTAGTCAGCGGGACGTCCATGTCTACCCAGCTCTGGTGGGTACCTGACTTACAATAGGGAAACAAATATGGCTGGGCATAGCGCTGAACACACTATCCTTCGTATGTCGAGTCATTAAAGCATATGAACTCTACTTCATATCCCCATATGTGATGACCACTAACGGGAAAAGATGATACAAATTAAAATTGATAATTATCAATAATTAGTGATACATTTAAATTACTGTTGTATTTTTTGCCACTCAAGTTCCCTCTAATCTGAAAAAAACAGACGTTTCCATTTTCTCTCACGCAGCCTCCCCCCTCATCCCGATGCCCAACCCCTTCACCTTCCTGAGCACGATGCGCGGCAAGCCTAGGCGAGGCATGCTGCGGAGGGCGGTGTTCTCAGACGCCCAGAGGAAGGGCCTGGAGAAAATGTTCCAGCGACAAAAGTACATAAGCAAGCCGGATAGGAAGAAGCTGGCCACTAAACTCGGCCTAAAAGACTCTCAGGTAGGTTCCTTCAGTGCCATGGTGTTTGGTGGGTAGATTTTAAGTAAACAGCTTTTAAATATAATACTAGACTCACATAGAGGCGTAGCGAAGGGGGGGGGGGGTGCGGGGGATACATATGTCCCCGGGCGCCGACCCTAGGGAGCTCTAAAATGGGTTGTAAAAAAAATTAAAAGCTCATTTTAGCTGCAGTTTTGCATTATAAATATAAAAAAATATATATAGGGGGGTGTGGAGGCACCAAATTGAAAGTTTGTCCCCGGGCGCCGTGAAGGGTCGCTACGCCTCTGGACTCGCATTTGAAATCTATTATAGCTGATTCAGATACATAGTTGTCGAGTTTTAGTTCTATCGTGTTGTTGTTGTTTTGTTGTTGTTGTTAAGTTGTTGCTGTTGTCTTGAGATACTTCTGTCATAAATTACTTGACTCTATATTTTATATAGCCTTTAAAATAGAATTGGTATAATATACAGTCATATTTTTTAAAATTTAAAAATATCGTTTAATTAAAAAAAAACAGACTTGTTTTTAATAAAATCTATATATTTAGGTACGTCAGAAAATTTTAATTCTATTGCATATTATTTTTGAGATTTTTTCCACATATATCTTTTTATTTTATAAAATTATAAAATACGTTTCCTGACATTAAATTTCGTTAATTTGGTTTAATTAATTTTTATTAAATTTGATTTCTTTTCAGGTGAAAATTTGGTTCCAAAACAGAAGGATGAAGTGGAGAAACTCCAAAGAGCGCGAGCTCCTGTCCACGGGCGGGACAAGAGAATCCACCCTCCCGAACAAAAGTAATCCTAACCCAGACCTTAGTGACGTCAGAGAATCGGACGATTCCAAACACCAGCGCGGGGAGGACAGCTATTATGATAACAATGCCCCCGATTCTCCAAACGGAAGTATAGCATCCAGTCTCCCCTCGAGCCCAGTCAACTCCCAGCAGTCTTTGCATTCAATCACGCATGCGCAGGACGATGAAAGTGATATAGACTCCGACGAGGAAATAACAGTGTCTTGAGATGAAGAAAGTCGATGTTATTTTATTCGAAGCAAAAGTATCTCTGTAATATATTTGTTTACAACCCGATGTAAATAGTGTACATGGATGTATTTACCTTCACAACAACAAAATTGATTTTTTAAAAAGCCAAACAAAAATGGAATCAGTGATCCGTTTTGTAATATTGATAAATGAGTAGAACAGGTGTTAGTGTGTATGTGTGTGCATCGTAGTGTGTATGTGTGCGTATCGTTGTGTGTTCAAATGTATTGAGTTTTTTAGTTCGCTTATTCAAAGTGTATGTTGCTGTACTATTTGGGTCATGATATATTGGTTGGTTTATGACTTTTTAGCGCAATTTCCAATCTGGAGAATTGCGTTTATTAACCCGTCATTTCTGGATGTTTGAATGTATGAATGAATGAATGGATGGATGGATGGATGGATGGATGGAGGGATGTGTGTCCGCAGCTTTAAGTCGTATCTCCTCCTCAACGAAGCAATATCGATGACTAGTTCCAAAAGCAATTATGTTAAGCAAGTTACGAGGATGAACATAGGCTATAAAAATTCCGGGTTTCTTTCATGGATTTCCCGGAAAAGCCAAAAAAAACTCGAAAAATGCAGTTTTTGGCCCATATCTCGGCAACCAGACCACTTAGCGACTTGAAACATTTACCAATCGATTCCTGCCATAATTTAGAACAATATTGCCGAAGAAAGTTTTCAAAAATATCCTTACGTTCGGTCACAAATAAATTTTTGAATTAATTAAAGTTTGGACCGAATTAGTAGGCATTTTTATCCAACCACACCACACGCGTCATCACGTTCAATAGCTGCGCCATCACGTTCAATGGCTGTGTCATCACGTTCAGTAGCTAGGCGCGCAATGGTTTTTAGTCATGTAACTCTATTGTAAATAAAACATGTAAAATACTGAAAAAAATTAATAATAACTAACCAATGGTTTTACTAACCCTGCTCTTGATTTACGCTACGACAGAGCTATTTTTAGATAAAATATAAGGAAATTGCGCTTAAATGTCACTAGACTTTTTAATTAACTTGTTTTTTAAAATGAACATTGTAAAAGGATATACGTCTCAAAATGAGAAGAGGTTTAAGTGCGTAAAAAAAAATAATAAGCATAGATTTAAAACATACTCAGTATTGAATACAGTGTTTAAGTCATAGAATATTACCACTATTGCGAAATATGTGTAGGGTCGTAGTTGTGGTGGTGGTTTCAGAGTCGTAGAAAATATGGAATCGTGTGGGAACTCTGTGTCTAATTAATTTATCTAAACCAGGGGTCTCCAAACTACGGCCCGCGGGCCGGATGCGGCCCGCGAGGTCCTCTCATCCGGCCCGCGGAGATCTTTTTGTCCACGTTAAAAACGTTTGTTGGTGATGGCTGAGGAACTTTGCCCAGAAAAATCAAAGACATGCCTGGAAGAAACTGGCCCCCGAACCGAAATTTTATAGTTAATGCGGCCCTCGGACTGAAAAGTTTGGAGACCCCTGATCTAAACGATTCTTGTGTGGTTCGTTGTGCTATGAGGGGGTGGCGTGGTGCTTTCTGTATTTCATTATGGTTTATAACATATGAAGGCTATAAGTGGTGGGGAGGGGGTGGAGTGTTTTCTGTATTTCATGATGGTTTAGAACTTGGGGTTGGGAGGGGGAGGGGTCAAAATGTCGTATTTTTTTGTGTGTTAAAAATAAAGGCCGATCCCATAAACCATTTCCATTGATTGACCGTCTACCCTGTGTCATAAATCCAGAGGTGTAGTGATGGGGGGGGGGCGGACCGCACCGAGTGAAACCCGACCTCGCTACGCCGCTGCATAATACATTTTCTAATTAAAAGCAAATCCTCTTTTTCAAATTCGATGTAAAGATGTAATTATTTAAATGCCAAAACCATGATTGCAATAAAACGGAAGACATTGGCCATAACTTTATTGTTGATTGATGACAATACACAAAGACTTTTAACCACTTTAACCCCCCCCCCCCCCTCAAAGTAAATATATTCGTCGAGTTTAAAAAACACGATTGCTCAGATAAAACTAGGCTTAGAAACCATCTATCTTGACTGTTGTTAGTTGTTATTGTGTTTTGTCATGTTATTTTAAAGATTTACGCGTCATGTAATATATTTTGAATCTTAAGATGATGTTGGCATTCAACATATATTGAATAGATTAGCTAGAGTATTAAAATTGACGTTTTAATTTTTAAAATGTCAGTTTGTTTCGTTTTTAAGTGGGGAATCATTTTTAAGGCACCTGGACAGTGTCAATATCAGTTTACGCTTGGGTTGTAGACTATAGGGTTTAATTTACAAGTCTAAGTTATTGTCACCTATGGTACTTTCTACAATTCTAAGTTGTTGTTTTTTTTTTTCAGTTGGTACTTTCTACCAGTCTAAGTTTTTTTTTTTTTTTCATTTGGTAACTTCTGCAAGTCTAAGTTATTGTCTAAAGATCTTTTAAAGTATCATTTCTGAAACTTAAAGGTGAATAGGTGTGTAGTTGTGAACAGTTTATTCCAAGCATCTTCCAACCCCCCCTCCTCCCTAACGACATGGAATTTATATAGTGTCCGCCGCCCCCCCCCCCTCCGGAAAATGTAGACCGCCCCCCCCCCCCAAAAAAAAATATCAAGTGCCCCCCCCCCCCCGGAGAAAAGAAAGTCAGAAAGAAACACTGGTTGTGAACGTCTAGGTAAAGCAGAGTCACTCGATTATTCCCAAGTCAGGAAGAAAGAATTTAGTAGTTAGGACTAAAGTCTAATATGTCAGTACCTGCAGACTGTTGGTTAATTTTCTCTATGGCTTAAACACCCGAGTAGGTTAACAGTTGCTATGCCCAATCCCATTGAAATGATCTTATAATGTACTTAGTGTCCACATGGGTGTAGGTCTATAAGGTCGAGTAAAAAGAGCGAGTTTCTAAAAGAAAATATGCCTTACAAATTAAAACTGTGAAGAGAATGCGTGGATATTTATTGTTCAATAGGTATTGCTTTGCTAGGTTCAAATATTGCCGACGATAAAATTCAGTCGGTTAGCTATTGGCTTGAGCTAAATATGTGGCATTGCGTGATATTGTGATTGTGTCTACATAGCTATAGATGCATGTATGTACATATATATATATATATATATATATATATATATATATATATATATATATATATATATATATATATATATACATATATATATATATAGCCTATATATATATAGCATATATATACATAGCCTATATATATATATATATATATATATATATATATATATATATGTGTGTGTGTGTGTGTGTGTATGTGCGTGTGTGAGCTTGTGAGTGTGTGTGTAAGTGTATGCGTGTGTGTGTAAGTAATTGTGCATATAAATGACGCCATGACACAGTATAATTTTGTGTTGCCCAATACCAAGTTATAAAAGAAAAGCAAACATAAATGCACATAAAGCCTCATTGCTCATCGTTACCAGTGTAAACATTGAATCATGAGATTGATTCGCCTGTTGTTTGTGTTGATAGGTAAACTGTCTGTGAGAGAGTCTTGCTCAGTAAGTGGTAAACAAATTACACTCTTTAATATATTGAAATGAACGTGTTTGAAAAAATTCCATTCTTTGATCCCGTTGTACGCTTTTTTTTTCTTATTATTATTGATGTAAATAAAATACTTCAGCGAATAAAAAAAAATCTTTTTGTGGTTTTATTTACGAGTGTATGTTGTGGTGCTGGCTGTGTAACTACTGCATTACATGCTAGTATAGGTGTAAACAGGATGTTCAGTGTGTATGTGGGACGGGAGACACTAGAAACTATAGTCTGGTCTTTCTACCGCCCTGTGGATCAGTGTTCATAATGGGCGAATTCTGGGCTAGTAAACTGTCCATAGACAGATATTAATAGAGACAAATTATGGGCTAGTACACTGACAGACCAATATTACAAGAGACAAATTATAGGCTAGTAAACTGTCCATAGGCCAATATTACATGAGACAAATTATGGGCTAGTAAACTGCCCCTTGACCAATATTACAAGAGACAAATTATAGGCTAGTAAACTGTCCATAGGCCAATATTACATGAGACAAATTATGGGCTAGTAAACTGCCCATTGACCAATATTACAAGAGACAAATAATGGACTAGTAAACTGTCCACAGACCAATATCACAAAAGAAATAAATTTTAGGATAACAAACTGCTAATTAAACTAATTATAATACTAAGTTATACTTGTTAAAAGTACCCTAACTGGTAACACTCTACCTGATGACGTCACTAGAGAGAAATGTTACAAAATGTTAAACAACAGAACATGTTACCAAATGTATTAATGACAACATGCCTCTGATGTAATGAGAGTTTCATCTCTCACCAAAGCTGATTATAAAACGTATTTCAACATTCTCGCCTAGATTATAAAAATCAATCGGAGGTTTTCAACGCCCCCTAGTGAGGTGATTTATTTTCGTTTAGTTGCCAAGTCTGTACATGAAGTACATAAAGTATATATATAAAATGTACATGAAATAAAGTATAATTATATACAAGTGTGTACATGAAATACATAAAGTATACATAAAAGTGTGTACATCTAATTTAGTGGGTGCCTTTGTTCATTTTACATTTATTTCAATACATGCACACATGCCCTTAATAATGCATTGAGTATAGTAAATAATGCTTTTTAAACCCTGCGATCCATTGGACAGATGAAGTAGAGTTTATATGTTTCTTGACCTCAGCATATTGAAGGTGTGGTCAGTACTTTGCCCAACTTTACCTAGTATGAGTTTGGTACCCATTTGAGCTGGGTGGACGTTCTATTGACTTAGACCCGGACTCGAACTCGAGGCTTTTGGGTTAGGAGCCTAACGGTCTAGTGTTCAACATAACTGTGTCTGTATGGAAAGCGCTTCATGCATATTTGGCTTTTTATGATTCTTTTTCAAGTAATTTGCAAGACACTAGACTGTTAATCTTTAATTAACCTGTAAGACACTAGAATGTTAATCATTAATTAATTAACAAGACACTAGACTGTTAATCTTTAATTAATCTGCAAGACACTAGACTGTTAATCTTTAATTAATCTGCAAGACAGTAGACTGTTAATCTTTAATCTACAATACACTAGAATTTTTAGTTTCTTAGTTGGAATGCAACAACGCAGTTTGGTGAAGAAAATTAAAATTAAAATATTTAAAAAATGTAGAGTAAAAATTAATGACAGCCCACTTGATCATTATTGTTGTCAAGATTTTTTGAAAAATAAAACAATGTTTTTTTCCTATTGTGTATAAACTAACAATTAAGTTTGTCAAGAATGAAATACC